AGTTGCTTCAGAGCATTTATTGTGAATACTGTGATGGACAGACAAGGCATTGTTCTGAGCTTTAGCTTGGCTGAGTCCCCCAAGTGTTCCAGGCATAGAGGCAAACACACTTAGAAACTCCTAAACCTATTGAGTTGTCTTTCAAAATTGTCCAGGCAACAGAATTTATTTATAAAACTCTGCAATCATTGATTCAAAACAAGGTTTTCTTGTTCTGCTTTTCTTCTTTGTCCTCTTTGAACAGTTTTCTTTGGAATGTTTTCGTTGTGCTTAGGAGTCGAAGATTTCCTGCGGCTTCTAATAAAGGCATTTGATTTCCACTCTCCACATACTTTAACACATCCAAGGGTTTTGAGGTTTGACATTAACTTRAGAGAGCTGGAGACAATCAGGCAGGGGGGTAAAAAGCCAGAGTTATGCAAATTATTTTTAAAATGTATAGAAAGCAAAAGAAATATTCCTTTAAATGTGGTTGGTGTGGGACAGTCTTTGTCTCAGCACAGAATATCTGTGTGCTCCCCTTCAAATTTATGGCTTTGATTGAAACCTGTAAAGGGGTGATCTGTAAAGTATTCCTGCTATCCTACACTTCCCAACAGGTTTATTACCATTCGTTTATAAAATGAACAGTCTAACGAGCAGTGGTTTAGATCACAGCTATCAAAGTCTGGTCATTTGTCAAGATTAGTTTCCTGTTGTGAGACTGCCTTGTGCAAAAAGAGTGCATAACCTTGTGTTCCTCTTGGGAAGCTGAAAAATTACCTATAAACACCCTATAAGATAGGTTTAATGAAGATTTTATAATCTCAGAATTCAACCCAACACGCTGCTCTGTGTGTGTATTTGTGTGAATGCATGTTACAATGCAGAGTACCTGTGTACAGGGGAGAGAATTTTCTTGACAAGAGTTAAATTTGGGATATGAAGTCCATGCAGTATTGTCAGGGCAATTTAATGCTCATTTGAAAGAGTTAGTATATACTGATGGCAGTGTAATTTGTTAGAGCTAAAAGGCTGCCTTGGGAAGTGCTGTTGCAAAAGCACCAGCAMTCCCGGAATAGTCGGCTGCCGGTAAATAACACCAAGTATTTTCTGTTCATGTTAGATATATTTATTTTGAAGCAAAAAAAAACCCACTCAGTAAGGTGACAGCAAAGGTGGTGGTCGGGGAAATAACACACTGCACAGGACAAGGAGGTTATTTTTTGTCCTGATTTGAGGGAAGGTGAAAGGGATTGATGCTTTTCTGGGCTTTTCTTCTTGAAATTATCTGTGAACGGTGYTACATTTGTGTTTTCACTGTCGCTGGACGGTGGCATATTGTGCGGTTTGCTTGGCAGACAGCCGGAGGCAGCGGCCCCGAGCTGGAGCGGTCTGAGCCCCGGGCCAGCGGCAGCCCGGCTCCGGGAACGGGGCAGGAACGGGGCAGGAACGGGGCCGAAACGGGGCCGAAACGGGGCCGAAACGCTCCCCGACCCCTCCGGGACCGCGCCCCGCTCTTCCCTCGCTGGGATGGGGAGGTGGGCGGCGGGACGGGGTCTCTTTTTTGAGCGTTTGCCGGCCCAGCGGCGCTGTGACAGGACCCCCGACTGCGGCGGAGCCTGGACACGGCCGGAGCGGCCGCGGTACCGGTGTGACCGGACACGGGCACGGTGGCATTGCCCCGTCCATCCCGGTGTGACCGGACATCGGCACTGTCAGGGCTGCCCCGTCCATCCCGGTGTGACCGGACATCGGCACGGTGGCATTGCCCCGTCCATCCCGGTGTGACCGGACACGGGCACGGTGGCACTGTCCCGTCCATCCCGGTGTGACCGGACACGGGCACGGTGGCACTGTCCCGTCCATCCCGGTGTGACCGGACATCGGCACGGTGGCACTGCCCCGTCCATCCCGGTGTGACCGGACACGGGCACGGTGGCACTGCCCCGTCCATCCCGGTGTGACCGGACACGGGCACGG